GAGAGAGAGAGAGACGCGATGTACGATTACAAATAAATAAAAGTAACTGAAAATACATGATGGAGTAATTAACAGATTTACAGATGAAATCGTTCCCGGGCGTCGAAGCACGGCTTATAATTAGGCGAGAAGTTAATTACCTCGCGTACCTGCGGATAGACCGCTTGAAGAAACCCCGACATCCGTCGCAACTTGGCACGCCATAATGTTTCCCCGAGGCCTTGTCCCCGCAGACTTTGCACAATGTTTCCCCGCGTCCGTTCTCTTCCATCTTCGACGAAGATCTGTTTGCAAATCGATTTCGTAAAAAATATAAATGTCATAATAAATTTATCTCTAAGTTCTGACGAGTTACATGTTTCACAAGAATCGAAGAATTGAACAATTCAGTCTACATAGGTTTAACAACAGGAAAAATTTAAGCTCAACCGAATAAAATAAATTCACTTTGTCATAAAGGATTTCTATATCCTTTATATCATCAATGTGATAGTAAAACGTAGCAGTAATAAAATATAGGATTCCATGAACTAAGAGACTTTAAAGAGAAATAAAGATAAATCCACATCAAAGATATGTGAGTCCATCGCGAATATATAATATAATTAGCGTCGTTTATTTATCATCCTTGGGAGAGAATGAAATCTCAAGAAAAGTTGCCGAAATGCAAAATCGAACGCTAGCATCGAAGGGTCATAAACATCTCGGGCTGAAACACCGCGTCGAAAAGCCTAGATAGCATATTTCCCCACAGTAGAAGTGCGTCAAGCTTTAAAGTGACGAGATGGTGATACGTATCGCGGGCAATATCGCTATCAGTCACTGACGTAACTACGAGCAACTCTACATTATGCATGCGCTATACGACGAGAAGTGCATACGCGAAGAAGACCCAGCGCTTCTCCTCATTATCTGTCGTGGGATTTGCTCGCGCGACTTTCTTGCTACATTGTAAATACACTGTTATAGCCGCACTTTGGAGTTGCCTGAGGGAAAGGAAGTACGCGCCACTTTGCATACTACACGATATAATGCGATGGCGAAGATCGCTAAACATCGCTCGAGGCACCTTGTCGATTCCGTATCGCCGTCCGATTGCGACTACTTTAAGATTGTATTACATTTTTACCTATTTTTACCTATATACAATGAAAAAAATTATGAAAAAATTATAAATTATCTTAGATTGTATTTAAAAGAAGTATAAACAATTTTGTGACAGCTTAGGACATGGGTCAAAAATTTAAATTTAAATAAATAAGTAAAAAGTGTTCTAATAAAAATTAAGAAATAATGTCCAAAATCTCAATTTTCTTATGTAAGTATTTTGAGAGTATTATATCAAGATTATTTATGTAAAATTTCAATATACAAAGTTTCAATGATACAGAGATTAATTGTTTTGTAAACAAAAATTAATTTCATTTGTACTGTTACTTGTTTTGTTTATAATCTTGATAAAATTTAATTTTATAATCTTGATAAAAATTTAATTTTTATTTACAGAACAACTAAATAAAAATTATAAAAATAAGCATAATATATCGTATCTTAAACTCGATGCGAGTAATATCGCGGGGAAGGACCGACGATTTTGCACGATCGATCATGTCGCCGGCTGTCTGTTCGCTGTTTTAACGAGCCGTGCAATCTCCGCTCCATGTAAAATCGACAACTCCGATTTAATGGCGATCAAACTCGATGTGTTTCTCAAAGTTGAATAATAATTTCTAATATCTTTATTTAAACAATTTAATTTGACACGATATATGTATTGTAAGCTTTGGATTCAAGTTTTGGAAATCGCTCAGATTTAGATGTCGAAAAGAAAGAGATTTTTCTGAACAAACGTTCTGGATAAGATGTGCTTTTTGCTAATCCGCAATTCCCAAAATCCCAGTAATCATCTGTAATTCCTAAATCTAATCCCAATCGTGCTTATTTTACTTATTAAAGAAGCGCGACAGAAAACAGAAAAATATAAGGTAAGTTGGATTCCTTTTCCGCTTATGCGCGATGGCCACCTCCGTGAACACGCCGTAATGGCCGGGACAAAATTGACGCGGGAGAGCGGGTTACGTGCGTCTCCCGCGCACGGTCACAAAGTCGAGGAGCCAGGAGGTCGCGTGTCCTCCGAGCGCAACTCATCGACGGCGAGCGACGGGGCGGCGGACCCTCTTTCTCCCGTGACTTTACGTCCCCTCGTAGGCCCTCGGGGCTACCGCCTCTCGCCTCCCACAATCGCCCTCCACCGCCCGTCACGGACCCGATGGGCGCTCGGGCCACCTGGCCGTTTCCCAGGCTCAATAATGCAGCATGCCCGACGTGGAGAGCATCGCCCAGGCGGCGGTAAACCACCATCGGCCCCCAGTCGGCCGTCGCCGGCTAGAAAAGTCCTGGCGGGATGATACTACAATTTTACCGCACCCTCACGCCCGCGAGACCAGGATACTATACGTAACCACCAGCTCTCACCCTCTCTTTTTCCATCTCTTTTTCTTAGGTCGGTTGTAGAGCTGACTTCTTGATAGTCCGCCCCTCGCCGCGCCAAGCAGAATCGCGTCTCACGCGAGCGCCTCTCTTAGCCTGTCATAACATTTTTATTGTCCGATGACCGCCGTCTTCCGCGACAGCGACTCATGATGGTCAATTTGAGTCTCTTACTAGGAAAAATTTTAATCAGGATCATTAGATTTCTTAATAGTTTTATAGTGAAAAATAGGTCTTACATACATGATCTTACATAAGCTATGTAAAAATGTAATTAATTTGCTACGATTTCTTTCTCTATATTATATTCACCCAGTAGTGTGGTATAAAATTTAGACAGAAAGTCATTAAATCAGAGTCGTTGGATAGCGTAACAATATTAGGACAGTCAACATACCGAAAGAAAAAAACGATTACGCAGAAACAAAGGGAGTTCGTTTTTTTTTTTTTTCGTCTACCCCCCCCCCGTGATGTTACCTCGGCATATTGTAGCCACACACGGTGTGCCGGTGTGCAATTACACGGGGCGTATTATTTAACCCTGTTTGCACGAACGCGTGTCGCGTCTCTCGTGCACGCACGTAACATATGTCGCGTTGCGCCAAGAGTCACAATGGGGGTGAATCGGACACAGTCAGATTTTCCGCTCTTTATAAAAACCCGCGTTGGACGGGACGAGGAAAGAGGGGATTGCGAAATTGCGAGAGAAGCTCAAGAAGAAAATAAAATAAATAATACAGAGTGTTTTTGAGAAAAATTTTTTTGAAATTGCAGTGACTTTGAGAAAGATTGATAAATAGATATTTAAAGAGAGTTTATAATATATTAATTTTTTTAATTACATCTCATTGTTTCAAATTTTGTTATTGAATATTTCGATTGAGCGTTGAATTAAAAAAAATCTTATTCTATATAATTTTTTGGAAAACTGTGTGTCCTTTCTTAAATGTAAATTAAAGAATTCACATTCTTCTTTTAATTTCTAAAACAACAATTTTACTTTGACAAAATTTTGGAACATCAAGGATTTCTGAGGTCAACCGCTACAGAAAGTAACGAACAATTTCTCGTACGTATGTCAACGAGTGTTGCACCTAGAGAAATAATTTAACATATGCCCATCGATCATGTAAACTTCGACAAGCGCGGCGCAGTTTGCGCTTGCAAGGACTCGTCTAATGTCGAGCCAATGACTTTTCGATAGTTTTCGACGGTGCGACGCGCTGCAAGGTGTTGACGGCATGCAAATTTTTTTCCGCGTCACGTCACGTGCGTCGTTTCGCATAAAAAATGCTGATCGATCGTCGACCACGCAATATATCCGAAAATAGGCCCGTGTCACTTTTGGACACAGCTGCGAACGATATTCGCGAGATAGCTTCATATCTGGCGTGGCGAGATGGCAAATCTCACAAAAATAAAGATTTAAAAAACTTTCGAATTATAATCTACAGAATAAATTCTCTTAAAAAGTCATGAGAAATATCCAAAAAACACGGAATCATTGAAGTTATAATAATGAAATTATCTCTATTTTAATTTCCATATATAAAAATTGTAATTCGCGTACAAATATTTCCTTTTCTCTCTTTTCAGTATTATTTCCATCAATATTTTTTTCAATATCGCTATAATATATACCAGAATTATATTAACATTCTGATTATATTGTAGTAAGTATTAAGTAAGTAAGAATGTTCGCCATTTTAATTCCTTTTTCTTGCACAATAAAAAAACAAAGCTTTTGCTATCGAGAAAACTAGAGTTAATTAATGCTCTCTTTCGATTAACTTTCTAATTTGATTAACTTCGTAGAACACCACGTTATTCACACAAGAGGGATTCATTGAGAAAAAAAGCACATGGTGTCAGAAATCCTTCGCCATGACGCTGTGCCATGGGATTGCTGAGTAAGTCTCACCTGGATCTTTTTTCCTAACTCTCTTCTTCACGATGTGTGTTTTGATTTCCGGACGATAAGAGATTTTTAATTAACAGTCATCATCAAAATGATTGTACATTTATTTTATTCTTGTTGTATTCTTACAACTTATTTCCTTATTAAATTCGTAAGTTTGGGTTTTAATCGAGTTATTGGGCATTCGCAATTTTTAGAAAAAAGAATTTTTGTAATTCTCGAGAAGTTATATAGTTTGCGTTTATTCATACGACGCAATAAATTGTCAAACCTTCGCAGGTAAAGGCTTGAACTGCATCGTTCAAGGTTTCCCCTATTTTGTATGTCCACGAGAAGTACGGCGATTAATTTTTGATGATTCGCTTCTACGTAAGCATGGTCGTTACGTCGAGTCACCTGACGTGACTTTGTTGTACCTGAGGGTCGCAGTACAATTAACGACTCGTGAATAATAATCGATTCTGCAGAAGAATGGCATATGTGGCATAATAGCATTTGTAACAGGTAAACCTTTTCTTGCGGATAATTAATTATAATAATTAGAATATCGATGACTTGTGAACTGACCGCGTTAGAACTACATGCACATAATTACATTGGAAACAAAGCGTGTAATCGAAGGTTTCTGATAAAAATTCAAATCGCTTAGATTTTTAACGGAACAAAAAAATATCTATTCCTTTTTTATGCGTAGAGAAAAAAATCTAATATAATAAATAATTGAAAGAGTTTCTTCTATTTTTTTTTTTTTTAATAAGAAGTTAAATAAGAGTTGTGAGAAAGATATCATTTAAAATATCTTACATTATATTTGAGACATCTATCATTACATATTTAATATTTAATTTGAAGACTAAATTAATTTATCATGAGACTTTTTGCAACATAATGATAACTTTTCTGTACTATTTTTTCGCAATAATAACCAAATGAAATATATAACAAAATATCTGCCGATTGTTTAAATGATTACACATTGACAAGCACAGTACTTCGAATGATCTCACTCGGATTGTTGTCACCCGATGTTTGGATAATCGAGTACCGGAACCACGAGGGCGTTCCGGCGATTACCGAAGTTATGACGGGAGCTGCATTCCTTTTTTTTCACCCGATCCTAATTTACGATTAGCCGCGGCACGATCGGTTCCAGCCACGCGCACGTGCACGCTTCGCACGGCTTGACAGTGATTGCGTGACACGCTCGAGATTACACTGTGCACGACACCCGCGCTATGATTTGTCCACTAATGGCTTTAAAGATCTTTAAAGAATAGCGACATATTGTTTTTAATAAACTCTCGAAAAGCAAAATTTAAATTACATCTTCGATTCCGCTTATATTTAAAGCTGGATAATCGCAGGGAGAGATGATAATGTCTAGACCGTTGCATTTACGTAACTTGCAATTACAGTAACAACTAATGTGCAAACTGGGGGAGGGGAGGGGACATATAGTACTATTCGTACTATATTTTAATAAGACCATATGCGTACAAAGTGTCTGTAAAGTTAATGGTGAAATGTCCCCATTCGCGGTTACACACGGCCGCACCGGGAGGAATAACGTGTGAAATAACATCGCGTGTCCGAAATTGGTATATACATTTTATTATTACATTTATTCCTACATATATTAATAAAGTTCACGCGCACCGCCGTATATCCGGATACGTATTAAGTAAAGGCACCAATTTGTGTGCGACAGCGCGTATAACAGGCGACCGCGCAAAATAATATCGCGTGCAAAAGTGCGTACATA